AACCTCTACGCCCTTTTTCTCTGGTGGACAACACACTCCATCACCAACCTCAAGAAGGCGACAAAACACCAAGGATTCAAGTTGTGATCAAGATTCTGCTAGTACCAAGACCAAGCCTTCCACTCTATCTCTCTTTCTCAAACCAAACAAGGTTAGGGGAGCTCTTGTTTGCGCTTGAATGCATGTGGTTGTTCGTTTACTTGTAAACTCTGCATGCACTCTCTTCTTCTTGTTTTCATCTCTGATCTTCATCAATGAAAATTACATGCAAACCATTTTCATCTTGTGGTGATTCTATTTGGATGGTGTTTTTAAAAATCCATGTTTTGTAACTTGCGTGAACTTGATTGAGGTTGAAATAGTTTTGCATGTTGATAATATTGAAATCCTTGTATGAGTCTCGGTTGTTTATCTTTATTATTGAATAAAGTTGGTAACTTTGATGAATATCCAATTGCATGTTAAAGTAACTCTATGAATCCTTGTGTTCTTTTCGGTTTTCACCGACTACCCTCCTTCCTTTTTGTTTTAGCTGAGAAATTACTCACCTTTTTCTCTCGGTTTGATTCTGTATGACCAAGGAACCATTTTTCTTAACCATGAAAGAATTCTCCTACCACCTAATCACTATTTTACGAAAAATTTGTGGTAGAAATGAGTTGCATGTGTGATTAAACTTGCGGTTATTTCCATGATTCTTTGATGATTATTTTGTTTGCGAAGGTACATTTCGACTATGATATTTTAACAAAATTTTTATAACTGTCTCCATCTTCTCTCCTTTTCTTTTATTCTCGGACTGTGGACGAATGGTTCTTCTTTTCTTTGAACGTACTAGCTCTTATGAGCGTGGATTTGGTTATGTGGTTTGTGACCTTTGGGAATTTAATGTGCGTTCAAAAATGGTAAAGTGAGAATGCGGTTATGAAACTCTTATGTGCATGATATGGAAGATGGAGAGTCAACATCACAGTTTAGCACAGCTGAGGGATGTGAGTGTTTAGGTTCGAGGGAAGGACCTTGGGGGTAGTGGAGGGGGGTTGCCCCAATGGTGCAGAATAGCTCCCGCGGTCGGGACACGTCGCTATCGAAACCTCCACTAATCCTGACGTGAGCAAGCATTACCAAGGATCGTGGAAGGACTCGTTCCTGATGGACCGAAATGGTCAAATGGGAGAATATTCCTGATGGATTTCATACAATGTGTGCTTGTAGGGAACGAGGGCCTCCAATCACCTTGACTGGAGGAATGGTGGGAACAAACTGAGGGAGTAGTGACGTTTTAAGTGTTAAGGTTTAAATTATGTTGCGATGAATCTCTGTGACTCTGTCTGCATTTTGTGATTATTTATTGAGCATTTTGTTATGACTGTGTGTGTATTAAGATGTGACTTCGCAAGTGCTTGATATTACTCTGATTTTCTTACTTACTCAATATCTGATGACTGATTATATTGGAGCTCACCCTTTCTGTTCGTGTTTTATTGTTGTGTGTTTGTATGTATTGCATGATTGTATGACAGATGGACTCTCATCAAGCAATGATATAGGGAGAGGACTCTGACAAGAAAGCAGTATGGAGATACGACCAGGCAACACGTCGTCTCGTATACCAGGGGATGGTATCCCTGACCATGGGGCCTCTCACTAAAGGCGACTAGAAGCCTAGCTGGAGTGACCACTTTTTTGCAGACGTCTTCGTACCTCTACCTTCAGAACGGAGTATTATAATCCACTCACCCCCTTCTTCTCCACCACAAGAACCGCCAGCCAAACGTCTTAAATTTTTATTGACAAAGGTAAGACCGTTATCGATCTTGACCCCGAGCCTACCCCTCCTCCCAGCCCTTCTCCTGCCCCTGAGTTGAAAGATATTGAGGTTATCGAGTTTTCCATTAGACCAGTATCTCGCCACCTCCCACAGAGTAGAGCATCTCCTCCCGATGAAGCCGGACCCTCTGTCTGACGCCCCTCACCACCACCACCTACTTCTCGATCGCCCCCACCCACTATCGGCTAGATTGATAGTGACCCGGACGACCTTGATGTGTAAAAATCGAATCACTGGGCAAGTGTACCCGTTGTCGAAGTAATATTATTAAAATTAAAATTAAAGTACCAAGTGTCGTATCCACATGGACTGTTATTAAGAAACTTTTCCTTAATTGCGTAATTGTTAATAAATATGAAAAATAAACCTTGTTGATGAAATTGCTAAAAGTAAAAGAACAATAAATTAAAAGGAACAGATATTCTAGTGAAAATAAATTATAGAAAATTATGACTAAAGGTATTCAATGTAAAAGGGAAAGTATCTAGACTATAAATCCCCCTAAGTGTCCAAATAACTGAAATTCTTCTTCAACTACTTAGTTCCAAACCCTTATCGCTGCAGGAAATTCCAAATTAAATCAATACCTTTCTCAAGGATAATGATTCCTAACCCTCAGTTGATTAATCGGAATCTCTTCCTTAATTAATACCCCTAGGTTGCATTAAGTTCATTATAAATTCCATAATTAGGGTTAATCCTAATACAGAAAACTCACGTCTTTCTATCTCTAGAAATACATTCAAGTCTTTTTAATTGAGCAATGTTAAATTCATGCAAGAATTTTACTCAAATTCAAACAAGAAAACAAGATAGAGAAAATTGATACTACTCAATTAAACCCAAGAGAAAAGAACATGAAATAGCATTAGAAGAATTCCAGAAAATTTAGTCAATTAGGATTCATTACGTCTAGATACTCAAAGGAAAATTAGAACCTAAATATCTTCAAATTACAATTACAAAAGAGATGAAATAAAATGCTTAATCCCATCCTCTTGCCGTCTCTGAGTCTTTCGTCTCCAAAAACCTCCTCCTCCTCCGTCTCTGAGTTCAGATCTCCTTTTATAGGAATTGTCCTAGGGTTCTCGCAAAAGTTAAATTTCTGACGCGCGTAAAAGTACACGCCCAAGTACACGGCCATGTACTTGGCCGTGTACATCTCTGTTTTCTAATAGACGCCCTTCAAAGCTTTCCATAAAAGTACACGCTCATGTACACGGCCATGTATTTGGCCGTGTACATCTCTGGTTTTGATGATACACTTCAATTGACGCGACCAGTGAGATACACGCTCATATACACGGGCATGTACTTGCTCGTGTATATCTCTGGCTTTTTTGTGTGTTTCAATTCCCAATATCTTTTAAAGCTTTCACTTCTTGATCCTTTTTCCTGAAATATGAATAAAATGAAATTAATAATAGTAAATTTTCTCAATACCTTTCTCAAGGATAATGATTCCTAACCCTCAGTTGATTAATCGGAATCTCTTCCTTAATTAATACCCCTAGGTTGCATTAAGTTCATTATGAATTCCATAATTAGGGTTAATCCTAATACAGAAAACTCACGTCTTTCTATCTCTAGAAATACATTCAAGTCTTTTTAATTGAGCAATGTTAATTTCATGCAGCAATTTTACTCAAATTCAAACAAGAAAACAAGATAGAGAAAATCGATACTACTCAATTAAACCCAAGAGAAAAGAACATGAAATAGCATTAGAAGAATTCCAAAAAATTTAGTCAATTAGGATTCATTACAGATACTCAAAGGAAATTAGAACCTAAACATCTTTAAATTAAAATTACAAAAGAGATGAAATAAAATGCTTAATCTCATCCTCTTGCCGTCTCTGAGTCTTTCATCTCCAAAAACCGCCTCCCCAGGTTTGAGTTCAGTTCTCCTTTTATAGGAATTATCCTAGGGTTAATTTTCTCGCAAAAGTTAAATTTCTGAAGTGCGTAAAAGTACACGCCCAAGTACACGGCCATGTACTTGGCCGTGTACATCTCTGTTTTCTAATAGACGCCCTTCAAAGCTTTCCATAAAAGTACACGCTCATGTACACAGCCATGTATCTGGCCGTGTACATCTCTGGTTTTGATGATACACTTCAATTAACGCGACCAGTGAGATACACGCTCATATACACGGGCATGTACTTGCTCGTGTATATCTCTGGCTTCATTATGTGTTTCAAGTCTCAATATCTTTTAAAGCTTTCACTTCTTGATCCTTTTTCCTGAAATAAAAATAAAATGAAATTAATAATAGTAAATTTTATCAATGAATAGCTTAAAACTCTCAATTATCATTCATGAATTACAATGTAGGATCAAGTATAGAAAGCATTTATCAAATTCCCCCGAACTTGAACGATTGCTTGTCCCCAAGCAAAGAAATGAATCAACTTTTACCCTTGACAACAAAGAATCAAATTCCTAAAATTTTTATTATTGTTTTTTTTATTTTATTTTATTTTTAGGGGGAAAGTAATTCTTAAATATCAAATTGTGCTTTCTTTTGCTCTCGACCTCTGTAACTTCAGACAGAATTGAAATAAGGACCTCTCTACCATTAGCTCTTAAAATTTTAATTCAAAACTTTGAATTCTTCCACAAGGTGTTATTTAATTTTCTTTACTTTGAGCCATGATCGGCTAATAGGGTGCATTTTATGCTCCATCCCAATTAGCATAAGGTATTAATGGAAAATTCCACCCCTTGCTTTCCACATCGGTACCTCAAACAATTTCGGGGTTCTAGGATGTGGTATCCGGACATTGCCTGCAATCCACATTCAACTAGTTATGCTTCCATGGCATGCTCTATTATTTCTAAGCAGAGCCCCAATTTTTCAGATATTAACGATTCTTAAAAAAAAATTTGCATAGATTCAAGAGCATAGATTCAAGTTCCTCAAATCAGAAAAATCTACCGATACTTCAATCAAGAAACAATCAAAAACACAATTCCAATATCTAGAATAACTGCATATGAATCTTTATTTTTGTTTTTATTTTTATTTTCAGGAATATCATCTTCTATGCAACAGTAAAATTGACTCAGTATTGCTCAAGAATAAAACAACAATTCAGTTCAAACATCTATAATTATCCACCCCACAGTGTAAGATTTGCATTGTCCTCAATCAAATAGAAGAGTTAGAGTGCAACTGAAACTTCCCTGAAAAGTAAATAAGTAAGCAAAGAGTCGTGAGAAGCAAAGCTAATCTGGGATTCAATTGGAGAGGAAACCTGGTTAAAAAATTTTTTATAAGGAGATTTAACTCAGTTCATAATGACAAGAGGAGTAGAACGATCAAAATAATGCGATAAAGAAACAAAAGTAATAAATAGACAAAAGCAATATAAATCCTGAAAATAAAATAAGTAAAAAAAATTCAATAACTAAGACTCCTAATTGCAGACTAAACTGCGCATCATCTAAGTCTTCATCATCTATACTAAGAAAGTGGTCAGAAGGAGATGGGGTTCATGCTGGGGCGAGGACGCTTATTCAAAATATAAATAAATGAGCAAATAAATAACTAAATTAAAATAAACTAAACCTACCTAACCTAAACTATTCAATGTAATTCAACATTCAAAATTTAACATGGAGGAGTTTAAACTCCTCATTTGCAAAAGTTTGCAGTTGACCCCCTGGTACAGTTTGAGCCTATGTTCATTCACGTTAAAATTTCCTTTTTCTGGATGAGTTAATTCAATTATACTGCAAGGAAATACCTTATGCACAGTAAACGGTCCAGACCAATAGGATTTGAGTTTACTTGGGAATAATTTGAGGCGAGAGTTGTATAACAGTACTAAATCACCTTTTTGAAATAGTTTACCTCCCTTGAATTTTTTATGATGGTAGACCTTCAATTTTTCATCTGGTGGTTCATTAATAGATGGATTGGGTTGCTTCTCTGATTTCCACTCCAAAACTTTGAAGTCCCTCTTTCTCCATAATGGCTTAGTGGCTTCTAAATGACACCACTGTTCTTGAGTTACCAAGCTCATATCATCTTTTCCTCTATCATGAACTAAGCTTCTTTTCAATGGGTTTGAAATCAAGAATTACTGTGCACAATCAGAAACATAATCATCAATTACATTAATAAAGTAGCAAGAATCATCTTGTTTCAAAGACTTTTTTATTACATCAGGAATTTTGAAAGTGACTTTTTCATCTCCAACCCTCAAAATTAACTTTCCATCCCTCACATCAATTATAGCCCCTGTAGTAGCTAAAAAGGGACGACCTAAGATCAAGGGGACATCAGTGTCCTCGTCCATATCAAGAATCACAAAATCACCAAGAAAAATAAATTTGTCCACTTTTACAAGCACATCCTCAATGATACCCCTAGGATATTTAATTGACCTATCAGCTAATTGAATACTCATCCTAGTTGGCCTAGGTTCCCCTAAACCTAATTTCTTAAAAATAGAATATGGCATCAAATTAATGCTAGCACCTAAATCAGCTAAAGCCTTATCAACTATCAATCTACCAATGAGACAAGGAAGAGTAAAACTCCCTGGATCCTTCAATTTTTCGGGCATCTTGTTTTGCAGAATTGCTGAGCATTCTTCATTCAGAGTTACTGTGGCCAACTCCTCCAATTTCTTCTTATTGGACAGAAGATCCTTCAGAAATTTGGCGTACTTGGGCATATGTGCCAAGGCATCAACAAACGGTAAATTAATATGAAGTTGACAAAATAAGGACAGAAATTTACCAAATTGTTCATCATCCTTGTCTTTCTTCAATCTTGCTGGGTAGGGAAGTGGGGGTATGAATTCTTTCACTACAGGGGGCTTTTCCACAGTCTCCTCTTGACATTTATCCTCCTCTTCAACTGCATCTTTTTCTGTTTCTTGCTTCCCCTTCTCTTGTAATGTTCTGCCACTCCTTAATGTTATTGCATTGACCTGCTCCCTAGGATTAGTCTCAGTATTGCTAGGCAAGCTTCCTTGGGGTCTTTCTGAGAGAAGTCTAGAAATTTGACCCAACTGAATTTCTAGATTATGGATAGAGGCTTGTTGATTTCTTAGTGTTGTCTCGGTGGATTGAAACCGAGATTCTGATGTTTGAATGAATTTGGTCATCAGCTCCTCAAGGTTTGACTTCTTTTCAGTTGGGGGTGGTGGTTGATGTGGAGCTTGTTGAAACCCTGAGGGTGTGTTGTTCCGCATTGGCTATTGGTTGTTGTTCCACGGTGGGTTTGCATAGTTCCTCCAGCCTGAATTATTCATGCCATTGTAATTTTGGTACGGTGGTCTGTTTCCTATCACATTGGCATGTTCTTCCTGAGTAGCTCGACATTCATGATTAGGGTGGCCTCCTCCACAAACATCACATCTCATCACTGGAGCAACTTGGTGGTTAATAGATAAACCATCAATCTTCTTCCCTAAGGCTTCCACTTGCATTGCCAAGGATGTTACTGCATCAAGACTATAGATCCCCGCGGATTTCGCAGGTTTGGATCGAGTTGAGCTCCACTGATAGCTGTTCATTGCCATTTCTTCAAACAGTTCTTGTGCAGCCCTTGGTGTCTTGCTATTCAAAGTGCCCCCAGCTGCAGCATCTATCATTTGTCTTGTCGCTGGGTTCAATCCATTGTAGAAGGTTTGCACTTGAAGCCAGTCCGGAATCCCATGATGTGGGCATTTCCGCAACAATTCCTTGAACCTCTCCCACGTATCGTATAATGTCTCTGACTCCAACTGATAGAAGGAAGAGATATCGTTCCTCATTTTGGCAGTTTTCGCGGGAGGAAAATATTTTGCCAAGAATTTTTCTGCCATAGCCTCCCATGAAGTGATAGACCCTCATGGGAGAGAATTCAACCATTGCTTTGCTCTGCTCCTGAGAGAAAATGGAAATAGCCTCAAGCGGATTGCATCATCAGTAGCTCCATTGATCTTGAAACTATCACAAATTTCCAAAAAATTTGCAATCTGAGCATTGGGGTCTTCGTCTTGCAACCCATCAAACTGGACAAACTGTTGAACCATCTGAATAACAATGGGCTTTATTTCAAAGTTCCCTTGCACATCCGGACGGACAATGCTAGACTCTGTCCCTGTTAATGATGGACGAGCATAATCGGACATGGTCCTTGGTTGATCTTCGTTGTTTGCCATTCCTTCCATGTGTGTTTGTGCGTTTTCCCTCTGTACTAGCAGTCGCCTCTCTTTCCAAATTTTTTTGCAAAGTTCTTTTGATCTCTGGGTCAAATTCAAATAGTTCTTCAGACAGTGCAGTAGAACGGGTTTTGATCATCCACTAGAAAAATCAGCTCCTAAAAAGAATGAAAGTAAAATAGTTAAGTTAATTCAAGATTAAAGAAATAAATAAAATTAGTAAATACGTAATAAAGGGAATCCTAATTAAACAGTCCCCGGCAACGGCGCCAAAAAATTAGTGTGTAAAAATTGATCACTAGGCAAGTGTACCCGTTGTCGAAGTAATATTATCAAAATTAAAATTAAAGTACCAAGTGTCGTATCCACAGGGACTGTTATTAAGAAACTTTTCCTTAATTGTGTAATTGTCAATAAATATGAAAAACAAACCTTGTTGATGAAATTGGTAAAAGTAAAAGAATAATAAATTAAAAGGAACATATATTCTAGTGAAAATAAATTATAGAAAATTATGACTAAAGGTATTCAATGTAAAAAGGCAAGTATCTAGACTGTAAATCCCCCTAAGTGTCCAAATAACTGAAATTCTTCTTCAACTACTTAGTTCCAAACCCTTATCGCTGCAGGAAATTCTAATTTAAATCAATACCTTTCTCAAGGATAATGATTCCTAACCCTCAGTTGATTAATCGGAATCTCTTCCTTAATTAATACCCCTAGGTTGCATTAAGTTCATTATGAATTCCATAATTAGGGTTAATCCTAATACAGAAAACTCACGTCTTTCTATCTCTAGAAATACATTCAAGTCTTTTTAATTGAGCAATGTTAAATTCATGCAAGAATTTTACTCAAATTCAAACAAGAAAACAAGATAGAGAAAATTGATACTACTCAATTAAACCCAAGAGAAAAGAACATGAAATAGCATTAGAAGAATTCCAGAAAATTTAGTCAATTAGGATTCATTACGTCTAGATACTCAAAGGAAAATTAGAACCTAAATATCTTCAAATTACAATTACAAAAGAGATGAAATAAAATGCTTAATCTCATCCTCTTGCCGTCTCTGAGTCTTTCATCTCCTTTTATAGGAATTGTCCTAGGGTTCTCGCAAAAGTTAAATTTCTGACGCGCGTAAAAGTACACGCCCAAGTACACGGCCATGTACTTGGCCGTGTACATCTCTGTTTTCTAATAGACGCCCTTCAAAGCTTTCCATAAAAGTACACGCTCATGTACACGGCCATGTATTTGGCTGTGTACATCTCTGGTTTTGATGATACACTTCAATTGACGCGACCAGTGAGATACACGCTCATATACACGGGCATGTACTTGCTCGTGTATATCTCTGGCTTTTTTGTGTGTTTCAATTCCCAATATCTTTTAAAGCTTTCACTTCTTGATCCTTTTTCCTGAAATATGAATAAAATGAAATTAATAATAGTAAATTTTCTCAATGAATTTATCATTCATGAATTACAATGTACGATCAAGTATAGAAAGCATTTATCAGTTGCAAAGCGTGATCCATCAAGAAATTTACAAGCCCAATATTTTCACATCAGAATGCATGACAATTGAGAACATGGATAATTGGATGACTTTGATTACTCAATACCTCACTAGCGATAGTCTACCAAGCGACCTTACACTAGCCAAAGAGGTAAGAATGCAAGCAGTAAAATATACCATCCTTGACAGAGAACTCTACAAGAGAGGTATTTCAACTCCTATGTTGAAATGCCTTGACGACGATCAGGCCAACTATGTCATGAGAGAAGTCCACGAAGGAATCTGCGGTACTCATTCGGGTGGACGAACAATGGCGACCAAAGTCCTAAGGGCTGGGTACTTTTGCCTGACGCTATCTAAGGATTGTGACACTTTCGTCAGACAATGCATCCCATGTTAGCAACATGGTCCATACATACAACGACATGTTGACGAACTTCACCCCATAAACTCACCTTGGCCCTTTGCTATATAGGGGATGGATCTTCTCGGACCTTTTCCTTTGGCTAAGGGACAGTGTAAGTTTCTTATAGTCGCCATTGATTATTTTACTAAGTGGATCGAAGTAGAACCACTCGCCACCATTACGTCACAAAATGTCCAGAAATTCACTTGGAAAAATATAATCACACGTTTCGGCATTCCATACGCCTTCATCACAGATAACGGGCTACAATTTACAAACAGACGCTTCAACGAGTTCTTAGAGGGATTACAAATTAAACACAAGGTAACATCTGTCAAGCACCCTCAGTCCAATGGTCAAGCCGAGGCTGCAAACAAAGTCATCTTGCATGAGTTAAAAAGAAGATTGAGGTCGGCAAAAGGGGAGTGGGCGGAAAAATTACCAGAAGTCCTCTGGGCCTATAGATGTACCCCTCAAACAACTACAAAAGAAACACCTTTACGGCTAACCTATGGTACTGATGCCATGGTTCTGGTCGAAGTAGGAGAACCATCATTTCGTAGGCAACATTTTTAGGAACAAACTAATGGCGAATCCCTGGCCATCAACCTAGACTTATTGGATGAGAAACGTGATCAGGCAGCAATTATGGCTGAAGCCAATAGAAGAGTGATGGCCAGAAAGTACAACTCAAAATTAAGACCATGGCAATTTCATGTTGAGGACTTGGTATGGAGGGCAACACGGGAAGCACGCTGAGACTGAAGAAAAGGAAAGCTCGCTGCTAATTGGGATAGACCCTTTTGGATATCGGTGCGACTCGACAATGGATCATACAAGCTTGAGACGTTGGAAGGGAAGAAAATACCAAGGACATGGAATGCTACACATCTAAAGCATTTTTTGAATTAAAGCATATGTAAGATATCCATTGGTATACTCTTTTCCTCACTTACGTTTTATACTCTTAAAAGAACGTGAAAGGAGATTTTCCTGGGAAGGTTTTTAACGAGGCACCCTATTATCAATAAAATGATCTTTCTATGCATTTTTAATATTACTCATCCTTTCTTAAGTGAACATTTTTAAATTCCCTCCTGAGTGCACCTACTTAGCCAAGTTTGAATTTACCTAAAAATTCCCTCCCGAGTACCCACCACTCAGCCCAGGATGAAACTAAAATATACCTCTACTCGGCCGAAGATGAACCTATTTTATATTCCCTCCCGAGTGCCCTTACTCGGTCAAGGTTGAATTTTTCTAAAAATTCCCTCCCCGAGTACCCACAACTCGGCCTAAGGATGAATCTGTCAAATATTCCCTCCCGAGCGCCCCTACTCAGTCAAGGTTGAATTTTTCTCAAATTCCCTCCCAAGTACCCACCACTCGGCCTAACGACGAATCGATTATTATATCCCTTTAGCAAGCAATCTCTCTTTAGTATTAAATATATTATTAGAAGATTCTGGTGTATTAGTTAGTCGCTTATACATAATTACTTAACAGCCATGGCTCATTAAGATAGTGGCCGACTTGTAGTAAAACTAAGTCAAAAGATGAATCTGTATTCATTTGCCAAATGGATTACAAAAATCAGGCACTATTGGCCTGCAATCAACAACAAAAAAAAAGAAATAGCTAATCCCTATTTGGACCATGCTTCGTAGGGACTTCCTCATCAGCAGCACTTTGAGCTTGGTTCGGTGCTTCGGCGTCGGGCTCCACCTCTTCATCCACCTCTTCATATGGTAGAAATTTACCATCAAAGAAATCTCTTGACATATGCATGACATGTCTGAAGTTGGCCTCATGCTCTTCCACGAGTTTTAAATTACACTCGTCGGTAAGAGCCTTTAGCTTCGCTTCAAACGTCTGCTTTTCGTGATCCAAGACCAGACTTTTGGTTTCTAGCTCTGCATACTTGGCCCTCAGAACCTCCTCCGCCACTTGCATCCAACTCTCTAGCATGTGGAAGTGCTCCTTTATTTCGGCAACTTCCTCCTCCAGCATCCTGTTGGTCTCGAACAAATTTGACCGAACCTTTTCGCTCTCTGCGAGGGTATGTTCGATGCTAGCGAGTTGGCCTTGAACCCTCTCTAACTCTTGCAGCGGTTCCAAAGCGAAGCTATGGGCCATCACCATGGCCCGAGCCTGAAACTCACAATACCACTGCCAACGCGTCCGGTGATCTTGATTATTTACAAGTGCACGTCCCGCCTCTGATAAATGGTCAGGACAAATCACTCGGTTGACCCAAAATCCCTCGGCAAAATAGGACTCGATCACGGAGAAAGTTGGAACCACTGTTTAAGCCGACGGATCTCCCAGTTGGCTTGCACTGGCATGTTTATGCCTTTTTCCCTTTTCAGGCTCTTTCTCCTTACCCTTGTCCTTCCTCTTCTTGGGTCTGCCCTCGGCAAGGGAAAAGTCTTGAGGAAGGGAGCGGGCCTTGGTTATAGTCGGAGGTTGATCTATAACTGGGTGTCGGTGACAGCAGCAGAGGTGCCCTCGGGAGCTTTTAGCTTAAGACCTTTCCGGTAGCCCAAGCTGGATCCTCTTTGTGCCATTATACCTACAATAGAAACAAGAAGTCAAATCAATATAAACCAATATTCAAAGTCCAGACAAAAATGTGAAACATACCATCCATGTCCAACTGAGGTTGGGGAGACTTCAATAACAAAAT